AGGCCCAAATCAATCTGCTGCCTGTGGCTAAAGTCACCCAGAGTAACACACAATGTAAGAGCTCACCATACCCCCTAGGGTGGCCAGTCGGTCTAATTAGCAGCTGTTTTCTGTGTGTTTTCTGTATGCTAGAAACCTGGCTGCCTGGAACAGGCACAGCTAGAACCAGTTTAGCTCTCAATTATGACTTTATGACATTGCTGACACGCCCTCTCAAGTATTACCATCTCCATGACAGTATTGTTGTTCTGTGCTCAGGATATAGCTGGTTGGTTTAACAGGTCAAAAGCTGCTGTACTAAAAAGTGCAAAGCTCTTGATAATCTACAATTGATTGCACAGTGCTGAAAACCTTAATTGATCCCAGAATTAATCACCAACATGTGTTAAAATCAAGTATATATAATATGAAAGTATTAAGGTACCCATACACCTTACAATTATCTGCAGATTTTCTGTGGTCAGATGCAAAAAGTGCAACAGATTGGCCCAGGTGGAGACTACTCCATTCACATAGTTAAGTGTAGATGGAGGAATCTGTTACACCTTTTCCATCTGACCACAGAAAATCTGCAGATAATTGTAAGGCTGGGCACACACCTTACAACCAACGCAAGACTTTTGTCTTGCGATGGTTGTAAGGTACTTAAAAAAACGTACGATCTGCCTATCTTGCATAGGCAGATCGTACTTGCGATGATCGCAAGCCACGCGCCCTGAGGGGCGGGCTTCCGATGACCGCAATGTACATGCTGCGAACACCGCTACACAACGGCCGAACAACGTACGATGCTCGGCGGGTTTTGAAACATGATCGTAAGTTTAAAGTCGTGCGACCTTGCAGTAGTATGGTAAAACAGTAGAAAGGCATCATGGCACGCTCACAAACCAGCATGTAAAACAACTTGTCTCACCACTAAGGATAATAACAGAGGTTTGGATACACGTCTTCTGCAGAGGATGTGAAAGCCGCACTGCCGCGCCAAGGCACCTCTTATAGTGCGGTCCTAACTCTAAACTATGAGAGTCTCCATCTTGGAGCACATGGGGGCAGAAGATTTCAAATTGGGTGAAGGTTTGTCAGGAGGAAGCCCAGCCTCCTTAAAAGCCTCCTTTCTTCTGTTTTACTGTTCAAAGCCCATTTCGTGTGCACCTTACTGTATAACTGGTGACAAATTGTTGAGTGCGTTTGTCGTTTGTTTTGCTTGACAGATTTGGTGCAGCGATGCATGGGGTTTCTCAGCTGCCATTGGGATGTGCGGGATCCCTTGTGTGTTTCTGTGCTTTTACATGCTGGTTTGTGACCGTGCCATGATGCCTTTCTACTGTTTTACTGTTCAAAGCCCATTTCGTGTGCACCTTACTGTATAACTGGTGAAAAATTGTTGAGTGCGTTTGTCGTTTTTTTTGCTTGACCGATTTGGTGCATCGACGCATGGGGTTTCTCAGCTGCCATTGGGATGTGCGGGATCCCTTGTGTGTTTCTGTGCTTTTAAGGAGGCTGGGCTTCCTCCTGACAAACCTGCTCCCAATTTGAAATCTTCTGCCACCATGTGCTCCAAGATGGAGACTCTCATAGTTTAGAGTTAGGACCCCTCTATAAGAGGTGCCTTGGCGCGGCAGTGCGGCTTTCACATCCTCTGCAGAAGACGTGTATCCAAACCTCTGTTATTATCCTTAGTGGTGAGACAAGTTGTTTTACATGCTGGTTTGTGAGCGTGCCATGATGCCTTTCTACTGTTTTACTGTTCAAAGCCCATTTCGTGTGCACCTTACTGTATAACTGTTGACAAATTGTTGAGTGCGTTTGTTGTTTGTTTTGCTTACAGTAGTAGAGGTCGCACGGCTTCCACACACCTTACGATAATCGTACGATGGCGGGATTTCCCGTGATTATCGTACGATTATCGTAAGGTGTGTGGGGACCTTACGGTGTATGGCCAGCTTAAGTGTAGTGATCATCATCACCTCTTCTCAATGGTTTAAATGTGCAGAAAGTGCATATAATACCATCAAATCTTATTATAAATGAATCAAAATCTCAAATCAATGTGGAAATTAATCAATATAAATATAAACAAATTCAAAAGTCCAGTGTATTAAACACAAACACTGTGTTCAAAATCTCTCTCGTGCCAGACTGATCCTTTTCTTGTGCTGAAAACCGAATCCACCAAAAGTAATGCACTCACCAGAAATAAATGACTGCACAAAACAGCCAGCATATCTCATTTGTCAGGAAAAGTGCTGTGACCTCCCTAGTGCTCGTTCCTGTTCCTTTTGGTAGTAACAACCTCCATATCCATGTATGTCAGAAGAAAAAAGGGATCGCTCATAGTGCAATACATCCAAAACAATCTTTATTAAAATAGTCAAAACTTACATGGAAAACTTTAAAATCAGGCCGGCAAGTATTCTCTGCTAACTGTGGTTGAGGACAGCATCAGTGGGATCTTTCCTAACGCGCTTCAACACCACGACTTTCTCAAAGGGCTGCAGATCTCACTGACAACCTCTCCTCATTCAGTCTTAAGGTACCCATACACCTTATAATATTATTATATTATATTTGCAGATTTTCTGTGGTCAGATGGAAAAAGTGCAACAGATTGTCCCAGGTGGAGATTACTCCATCCACACAGTTAAGTGTAGATGGAGGAATCTGTTGCACCTTTTCCATCTGACCACAGAAAATCTGCAGAAAATTGTAAGGTGTATGGCCAGCTTTATACTGCTCGTGTTTAACAAAATCTTTATTGGTTAATAATGGTTAATAATTGCTTAAGAAAAAGTTAAGGTCAAAATCTATATTTAACCTTTTCGGAGGCCAGGATATCCAGAAATAATATCCACTTTGACTCATTTCTGAATATTTCCCTTGTCAAATTAGATCCCCCAGCTGGCTGCACTGGACAGCGGAGGAGTAGCAGTATGGAGGTCAGTCACCACTGACCTCCATACTGCCAGATTAAGAGCATCACAGGCCTGGTGCTGAGGACTTTGGTGGGTCTCCAGTGTCTCCAGTGTTTTCCACCTTGTGCTTGCGTCTCGGTTATGAACTAATTTGAAATGTCTAGAGATACTGTGTTTCATGAACCCATTTTTTATACTCTGATTTTTTTTATAAATTAGAAAAAAAAAAAAGAAAAGTTTTTCTTGTCATAGTAGGTCTGTTACCTCCAGGAGTGTCCCTGTGGGCAACAATACATGGGCAGGGCCACTCGGGAAGAGGAAAATGATGGAGGATCATGTTAATAATATTTAAAAAAATGGGTTCATTCAATTAAATTTAAATCCATGAATACACATTTACAAAACACATGGGAAGGACCACTCGGGAAGAGGAAAATGATGGAGGATCATGTTAATAATATTTAAAAAAATGGGTTCATTCAATTAAATTTAAATCCATGAATACACATTTACAAAACACATAGAAACTGTTTTACCTACTAAAGGGATTTATATTGGTGAATAAATAATTTTGTGATTCTGGCACAGCTGACAGACAGCAAAGTCAAATCCTTCACTGCATAACTATAACTTCAACTGCAGCAGGAACACAGCTTGCTAAAAAACACTCCCCCAGCTGGCTGCACTGGACAGTGGAGGAGTAGCAGTATGTAGGTCAGTCATCACTGACCTCCATACTGCCAGATTAAGAGCATCACAGGCCTGGTGCTGAGGATTTTGGTGGACCTTTTTATGGAAATGGCATCACTCACCGGGGCCTTCTTCCTCCTGCCCGGGCTGTGATTTGTAGTCTTTCTACAGCTTGGAGTCAGTGGTAGAGTGCCAGGGCCGTTTGCAGCTGTGACCCTGGTAGATCTGCCACTGACTCCAAGCTGTAAAGGGACTAAAAATCTTAGCAATACATTATACAGCAATACAGAATACCGCCAACTATAGGGGACTACAAATCCAAGCAATAAATGATACAGCAATGCAGATTAAGACCACTAACTATAGAGGACAACAAATCCCAGCAATACATTGTAAAGAACTGCAGAATAATGCCATCAGCTATAGAGGACTACCAGTCCCAGCAATATATTGTAAAGCACTGCAGAATAATACCATCAGCTATAGAGGACTACAAATCCCAGCAATACATTGTAAAACACTGCAGAATAATACTATCAGCTATAGAGGACTACAAATCCCAGCAGTACTTTATACAGCAATGCTAAATAATATGAAGATACATAATCTGTGTTGCTCCGGGTTCGTGGCCTGATGTCTCCAGGGTCTCAGGAGAGCTGTGCAGGGTTTAGGGGGTCTGTGCAGGCTCTCAGGAGGCTGTTCAGGCACTCAGTTGGCCAGTGCGGCTCTCAGGGGGCCAGTGTAGGCTCTCAGGTGGTCAGTGCTGGCTCTCTGAGGTGGTCAGTAAGGACTCCGGGTGGTCAGTATGGGCTCCCAGGTGGTCAGTGCAGGCTCCAGGTGGTCAGTGCGTGCTCCAGGTGGTCATTAGGAGCTCTCCGGTGGTCAGTGCAGGCTCCAGGTGGTCAGTGCAGTCTCCAGGTGGTCATGTGCAGGCTCCAAGTGTTCAGTGCGGGCTCCAGGTCATCAGTAGGGGCTCTCAGGTGGTCAGTGCATGCTCCAGGTGGTCAGTGCGGGCTTCAGATGGTCAGTACAGGCTCTAGATGGTCAGTATGGGCTCTCAGGTGGTCAGTGTGGACTCCAAGTGGTCAGTGTGGGCTCCAGGTGGTCAGCAAGGACTCCAGGTGCTCAGTGAGGGCTCCAGGTGGTCAGTATGGCTCTCAGGTGGTCAGTGCGGGCTCCCAGGGGGTGAGTGCGGGCTCTCAGGTGGTCTGTATAGGCTTCAGGTGGTCAGTGCAGGCTCCGGGTGGTCAGAGAGGGCTCCAGGTGGTCAGTATGGGCTCCAGGTGGTCAGTATGGGCTCCAGGTGGTCAGTGCGTACTCCATGGGGTCAGTGCGGACTCCAGGCAGTCAGTGCAGGCTCCAGGTGGTCAGTGAGACTGGTGGGTGCAGCCGCAGCAGATGCGGCTCTCTGCTCAGGCATATCAGAGGTCCCAGATTGCCATTGGGCCAACCGCGATTCAGGTAGGTTCAGGTCGGGCCGGCCGTGATTTGGGACAGATCGGGTCGACCAGGCCTATTTGCAGGGGTGGGCCCGGAGTGTGATCTCTACCCGCCCCTTTGTTAATCCAGCCCTGCTCTGCCCCCTCCTTCGGTAATCATTATCACGCCAGAACATGTGCTGCAGCAATTCTTCTATACAGTGAAATACAGGTCCCTGATATTAAAGACTAAAGACTCAGGGAAGCCTATCTCACCTCAACCTAACCACTGAACAATTACGTTCTCAAACAATTCATCCCCACACTGCTACTTCCTTATGTATCACTGGCCCCTCCCTATTAGATTGTAAGCCCTCATGGGCAGGGCCCTCCTTACCATCTTGTCTTGAATTGTATTGTAATTTTTATTCCTTCCTTATATTGTAAAGCGCTGCACAAACTGTTGGCGCTATATAAATCATGTATATTAGTAATAATATTAGAACAAACTCAAGTACTTTAATTGTTTTAAACACATTTAATTATTTTAATAACATAACTGAATTAATTGACATTGTTATACCTGCATGAACTTTAGTTTTAAAAGCATTATATAGCAATTTTTGCTATCATCCACTGAGGGACATAGCTCTGAAGAATTCTGAGCTGTAGGGTTATGCTGTTGCCTGCAGAAGAAATGGACACCGGGCAAACAAATGAAAAGTAGACATGTGCACCAGCAAAAAAATTGTTTTGTTTCGTTTTGATTCGGATTTTGCATTATTTCGTTTTTCTGGATTCGGGTCCGAAAGTCAATTCGTTTCGGGATTCGGACAAGATTCTTTAGCGGTAGTCTGTACGAAAGTTCATTTCATTTTCGTTTTGTTTGTTCGTGGCAGCAAAGACATTTGAGGGGAAAACATTTTTTTTCCCTCAAATGTCATTTTACTGCAACGAAATTTCATCCAACAAACGAAATTTCGCACAGACTACCGCTAACGAATTTCGGAATCGGAAATTCGGATTAGTTTGCATTCGTTATATCTGTCATTTGGAATTTGGATACATCTGAATTTCTGACGTTTTGTCCGAATTTCGATTCGGAACGAAACGAATTGCACATGTCTAATGAAAAGCCTCTCACTTTATTATCTGTAAAAAATAAGTCAAGGCAACTGGACTTGCTGTATTTTTCTTGAAGACGTTTCACTGGTCATCCAACAAGCTTTCTCAATTCAGAATGACTTGTACAAAAATTATCTGGGAATAAATATGGTGAATGTTGCTCCCATCTACATAATCTGTTAGTCGCAACCAGGTGTTGATTGCATTTGCATAATTGGAGCTAGGAAGTGTTAATAACCTGCCCAGAGAGAGCAGTGATGATGGATGTAACACCCACCACCTCACACCTGCAAGTCTCACTTAGTGTACTAGAATAGATTCTGGATTGAAAACACTCAATGCGGTTGTACATATTCACAAATTCTGGATTAAATACATTTGGTCAGTTGTTGCCTCTCTTAGATACAGAGATGTTTTTTGTGTTCCATAGATATTAAGCAAGCTTATTTACACATTCCTGTATTTCCAGCTCATCATTGCTTCCTTCGTTTTGCGATAGGTAACCTTCATTATTGCAACAAAACAAAGAGGTTAACCCATTAAGAAATAACGGGTTAGTAGCGGTCAACTTAGGGATCCGGACAAGTCAATTAATTGTAAAAAAGATAATTTTATTGGAAAAACATATATGATTGCACATTAACCAGTTGACATCCGCGGTGTTAAACCCCCTTCCCATCCAGGCCATTTTTCAGTATTCAGCGCTGCGGTACTTTAACTGACATTTATTCCGTCATGCAGCGCTGTACTGAAATGAATTTTATACCCTTTTTTGGGGACAGATAGAGCTTTCTTTTGGTGGTATTTATTCACCACTGGGGGTTTTATTTTTTTACTATATTAAGGAAAAATTACCGAAATTTTTTAAAAAAAAACAGTTTCCCCTATATTAAATGATAAAACATTTATTATTACCCAATTTTTTGGTAAAATATAAAAGATGGGGTCACGTCGGGTAAAAAGACACTAAACATGTCAAGCCTTAAAATTGCGTGCGCGCGCGAAACCTCAAAAAACGATAATACCCAAAATTGGCCCTAGGCGACGCTTTAAAAGCTGTTACCGCTCATCAGTTTAGTGTTATCAGTGATTGATGGCCCTAAAATGATTGCTCTCACTGCGACGTTCGCGGCGATATGTAACATGTGTAGCGCAATTGTAATTTTTGCGCGCTGGGGCACCGGACGCGTATTTACGTTTATAGGCGCGTAAACGTGGGGGTGGGGGAGTTAAACATTTTGGGGGGGTTTTTTCCCCTTTTTTTATATGTGGCTTTTATTTTATTTTATTTTTTTATGTGTTACTTTTCTTTTTTTTATTTATATATTTTTTTGCACTTATTGTTATTGCTATGTGCAATCATATATGTTTTTCCAATAAAATTATCTTTTTTACAATTAATTGACTTGTCCGGATCCCTAAGTTGACCGCTACTAACCCGTTATTAATGGGTTAACCTCTTTGTTTTGTTGTACTAGTCCATTTTGGTCACGGATCGGATGAAGTAAGTCATTATGCAAATTGAATTGGGGCAATTATAACCAGTCGGATCTCCAGGTAGGAACACAAACCTTTTTCTACAAACTTCATTATTGGTTTTCGGCTCTTTCTTTTGGGTTGGCTTTGATCTTTTACTTCGAGAACAGTAAAAAATTTCACCAGTCAGCATGACCGGACTATAGCCTTGCAATTTATGTTAAAAATTTTGAACAGGGCTACCTGATATGAGAGAGGGGGTGGGGCGGGTCATGATGTGAAGGGGGGGACTCTGATGTGAAGAGGGCTTTGGGGCGGGAGGGGGCGTGGTGGTGCATTGTAGTCAATGGCATCGAAGCCACGCCCCCCCTGCGATCACCAGCAGCCGAATGTGTGGCACACTAGTGCCTGTGTTCCGGTCCAGTGCGATCTGCAAAAAGTAGTGCATGAGGGACTTTATGCAGATCACACTGGAC